AAAATTTCTAATTTTGTTTTGAAATTATGTTTTAGATTATTATCTCTATTTATTTCAAGATTTCACAAATGAAGAAATGTTAACAATAATTCCTAGTTTTTGTATAAAGAAAGTTTTAAATTTTGTTTATAATTTTTGCTGGTCAAAAATGGGAAAATAAATTTCAATCAAATAATGTTTATCATTATGTAAGTTATTTTTTAAGGTAAGGAATTGTGAAATGCCCCATGTGTACGTGTCGCCACGATTACTCGCTCCCGTTCACTTTGGCTTGACAGTGTGCATACGTCCCGTGCTAAGGACGTGAATGAGTAATTATTCCGGCTTAAACACGTCGGCAGCACACATAAAGCTTTCTGCGGCACTTCCACCTTTTCAGCTCCTAGACTACTTGCCAACATTATTATACTTTCCTCACTCGACTGACCTTTGCACTTGTATCTACTGAAAATCAGCATGCCTACTCTCATCTTCTCCGGTGAATTCACCGTAAACACTGGACAAAATCTAAGGAAAGATATCCACGCAGGAATGAAATGCAAGACCCCCTAAACAACCTGTCTCAGATAAATTACTTCTATGCTCTATAAATCTTATATCTAGCCGGTGTCCAAACGATGTCAGTACATATAAAACGCCTCCTTGATTCTCTTCTAGCCCTGCAAGAAAAGCTCCTTCAGAATACGTGCAGTGTCTTCGGGACTCGTAACAGAATGTCCAATAGTCCTTGAGTCGGAGAATATTTCATAATCATTTCCTCCCTATTCAGCACAAATTATTAGCAAGGTTAGTGATAAAGGAAAAGATACGTACTGGGTGCGTCTTATCGCCGAAAAAGTGAATTTCCTCGAACCCTTCGTCTTGTATACGTTCCAGGCAGTAAGTCTTATCCCATCCTCGAGGGAAGATATCAAAGGAGATCTTGCCACCGATTGAAAAGGTTAAACCGTAATCGGGGAACTTCTCGCGCAGTACTGCCACGAAAGCCTCACGCCATTTGTGTTTCTAAAATGCATTCTCAATATAAATAAGAGAAAATAAGCTCTACACTGACGTTGTCGTAGGCCTCAAATTCGCCTCGTTCCTCAATGCTGAAGAATAATTTAGTTACTGTTCAATTAGTTGGAGAGAACATCGTCGTACGTAGCATTTCTCCCAATTGGGCTAACATTGACCATACCATTACGGAATTCAACAAAGGTACCACTAAATATGAAATCTATTATTAGTGGAAGTTACTGATTTGAGTGGACAGAATCCGTACCGTTTGATTGGAATATCCAGGTCAGCAATGTAGTGAAGAATGAAACTGACGAGCGTCTTGTATTTCTCTTCACCGATAAATTTGATAAAAGATTGAGATTCCAGTTTCTTTCCCATCCTATAAGCAACTAGGCCATTCTCGGCGAAGGCGAAGTCAAAGTCATCGTAGACTACATGTAGGACACAGTTCCTTGTTCATTAGGAGAAGCCTGGTTTAGGCCAAAGCTCAGAGAGTGCCTACCATTGTTTCCTGTAACACCAAGTTGTTCCTGTATCTTGACGAGATTGGATCCACCAACGAATCCGATCGCATAATGCTTTCGAAGCTCACGAAGGATGCTAATCATTTCTGGCGACGCGGACTCAATATGCAGTTCAATAGTTATACACAATCGCGCATTACTGAATATTGTATACTCACGCGTCTAGCTGGCGTCAGTGTCTCATCCACATCGAATAAAATGAGTTTCTTGTGTCTTCGGTCGGCAAAGTCGGACATGATGATGTGGGTAAATAGCAACTGCGCAGGCGTCGATCTCGAGGAAATTAATTCTTCGGAACTGAAAGAACACGTCGCGCGCACGTGACCGCATGACTAGGGCTTGTCTCCGTGTTCGGTGCCTTCGCCTACGACCACCGCTTTCGTCTTGACTCGACTGTGCGTATATCTTCTGTGCGAGGGACGCGAATGAGTCATTAAACCCAACTTAAATATCTCGGAGAGCCCACACACGATCGGTAAATCCTTGGCTGGCAGCTTACTGTTGTACGCTTTATCACGATCCTTAGATTCCTCAAACGGGCTTCACTCTTGCGTACTATTGAAAGCCAACTATGCCTCGTTCAGCTTTTCATCTCTTCTCGCTACCGCAAGAGCTATTGGAGACACTCACACCACGGAACTTACTTTCCAATGACAAAGCACCTTCGCCAGAACCGGTGGAAGAGCCAGTTGAATCGACTCAGACTGGATTAGGATCTCGGACGTGTAACATATGTCAGGGTGCGGTCTTTGCAAACGTGGATGACCAGAGATCGCACTTCAGATCTGATTGGCATCGATACAACGTCAAAGTGAAATTGGCTAACGGGAAGGCTGTCTCCGAAACGGAGTTTGCTGCGTTATTAGATAGTATGTTCTCTATGCACCACTAGTCCACCATTGAGCTAATATTTTCTATTTTGCAAAGGTCTTGAAGACTCCCTTTCTGGCTCCGAATCATCGGAAGATAATCCAGACGAAGAGAATGAGTCTGATTCGGATGCCATCCAGACTCTGTTGTCGAAAGCCCATCTAAAGTCACGATCTCCATCTCCTGACGCAATTATGAATGTCCCAGTTACCGCTTTGACATGGTTTCACTCTCCTCCCTCAACTCAGATCGGAATATACAGAGCTGTCTTTACGCAGGGCATTCCACAAAGTTCGTACCTATCAGAGTTACGAGAAATGCAGTCCGTAGTTCCACAGGGTAGGAAGTGGGCAATGTTCATGGTCGCCGGAGGTCATTTCGCTGGCCTGGTTGTTCGTGTCTCCCGGTCGAGCGATGTAGAGACAGAGCCACCTCAGAAGGGCAAACAAAAGAAGCCGATTCCAGAGATGGAGATACTGTGCCACAAAACATTCCACCGTTACACAAGTAAAACTTTTGTTTTCCTACATCTCAAGTAGTAATTGCTGACATTTAATACCAGCACGTAGAAAACAAGGTGGCTCACAATCACTGAACGACAACGCAAAGGGAAACGCGAAGAGTGCAGGTGCTCAGCTTCGACGATACGGAGAACAAGCACTGAGAGATGTATGCCACGTTTTTGTATTTCTCTTGAATGCAGACTTTGAAAGAGAATTTAGGATATCCGAAATTTAATATCGGAATGGTCCGAAGATATTTCCGCCTGTGAACGTATATGGATACGAGCCAGTGGTGCTAATAGACGCATATTCATGGACTATGATGGAGCTACCATCGCAAAAGGTGGAACATCTTTCTAACAATCACTTCGAGCACTACTAAACTATGAACTCACATTCCAGGCGACCCTCGGTTGCGCACGTTCCCATTCCCAACACGCAGACCTGTAAGTGTAACTATTTTGTGTATTCCAACCGGTTCAAGCTGACTTTAACCAGACGCAAGCCGAGCTCTCGCGTTGTTTAATGGAACTTACAAAAGTGAAGATCACCCACTTCACAGAAGAAGAGCTTCAAGCGCAGGACGAAGCTTTCCTAGCATCTCTCCCCAAACCCAAACCTCAGCCTACACCTGCCCCCGAAACACTACAAAAAGCAGCTGAGAAAAAAGCCGCTGCTCCAAAATTGACGAAGGAAGAGGAGATATTCAGGGATAAATGGATGCGACTGTTGGATATGATCAAGAAGGGTAGGTTAGAGGCTGTCAAGTCATTCTGGGAGCGTGAAGGAACGGGACTTGGTGGTGTGGATGCGCCGATTCCTGATTGGACTGAGGAGAGAACGAGAACGCTGCTTCAGCTTGCAGCGAGTTCTAGGCAAGCAGAAGTAACAACATGGTTACTCGACGACCAAAACGCCGACCCTACGATTCCCGTACCTACCAACGTCCCCCGCGTGCTTCCCAACGAAGAAACACAAACAGATTCGTCGAGACCCGCTACTCCCGACACTGCACCCGGCGCACCAAACCTCGTGCGAACCGCATACGATATTTCCAGCACACGCGCCGTGCGAGACGCCTTCCGGCGTAGCGCAGGCCTCCGTCCAGACGCCTGGGACTGGCTCGGCGCAGCTCACATTCCGAGCATCCTTAGCGCGGAGATGGAGGCCGAACGTGATAACAAAAAGAAAGAACGGCGTAAGGGACTGAAAGACAAGATTCGCGAACGCGAAGCCCGAGAGGCAGTGAAAGAGGTACCTGCAGAACCCGCCGTAGCAGTCAGTGCGCCGAGTCCGATGGATGGTCCAGCGAAGGCCGGACCTCAGAAGTTGGGTGGTGGAGCACCGAATGCGAGTCAGGGTCTTGCGGGCTTGACACCGGAAATGAGGGCTCGTATAGAGAGGGAGAGGAGGGCGCGTGCAGCAGAAGCTCGAATGAAAAAGTGATGTACTACTGTAGCTGTATCCTTGAATTACGCTAGTTTTTTCATATTTAATAGACTGTCTATCGTTATTGTCACGTATCAAGTTTTTCTAGACCACTCTACTAAGGCTATGTATGAGCTCTTTAAAGCCGAGGAAATGAGACAATTGTAAGCTCGAACGCCGCAATTCTTTCCTTGTTGCTGGACAATAATTTATGCTGAAATGATTCGGTATACAGAGTCTCCAGTGGCTCAAATACGTAGAAGCAAGGAGAAAGCGTAGCATATAATCACATGAACGGTTACACCAGTCATTTCATAACTTGCTTCCGATGGAGATACGTACAGTGCGCGTCAAAAGTATTGCAACACCATATGACAATTTACTTTTTTGCTCGTAACTCAATCAAATCTTTATCAATTAAAGTACTGTAAA